AACCTTAAATAAATATAGACAACACGTTCTACTTATTTAAATAGACTTTTAATAAATGTTTTCTCCTACAACATCAGAGTGCAGCGGCACATTAAATACGCACGACAAAGTCAATAGTTTAAAGCGCGCGAGTTGCTGTTAGCGATGCGCAAATGTACGCAGTGTTTGCTGCCTTTAGTATGTGCACAAAGTTACATGTCAGTGGGTGCCCTCCAGCTGCCGATGAACTCTGGGTCACTGCCTGGCAAAGTGAGTGGCTTCAGTGTTCTCCAGCTCTGATATAGACGTTAAATAAAACAGAGGGTGAGAGAGAGAGAGAAAAAAGAAAAATTGCGTGTGAAGTAATTTCAATACTCGTAAAATATATATATATAGTACATCTGTGATTGTGTGATTCACGGAGCAGCATGTGTAGCCCCACAGGCTATCTGGGAGAGTAACCGTCAAATAAGCGAGATGAATTCATATTGGTTAAAATTCAGAGGGTGCACGGCCACCGTTGACTCGTATCGCTCGCTGGAGGGGGGGCCCACAATAAGGCTGGCTCGATGCACGGTTTGCTTGGCCATTCCCCCGTGCCGAGCCGAGCCGTCTAACAATGGGGAAATTGTGCACGCCACTGCTCCTCGCGCTAGGAGGAAGGCGGGGGAGGAATGCACGGTGAGTCGCTGTGTGCACCGAGTCTCTCATCCTCGCTGGGACGCCGTTGCAATCGCTCTCGATGCATTGCGCACGCGATGCACACTCGCTTAGACCGCCGTTGGGCCAATCTGCGGATGACGCGTAGGTGGACGAGGAAGACGCAGGGACATGCCTCGGTGAAAACGGGATGTCGTCGCAACAACAACAACAACAAACAAACAAAAGTACGCAACATGTTGAACAGTTTGGTTTACCACTTCGTGTCGCTGCATTCACCCGATACTGACGGAGGCTGTGAGACTCGGGGGTGAATCATGTTGAGTTATCCTCGCATTTTGTTGTTGTTGTATCCTCTCCCCTACCCGCTGCGTGGATTTAAAGCGCACCGCAGGGAGCGTTCGCGCTGCCGGTGGCCGTGGGGGTTTCGCGTTTGCGAGATTCCAAGAGCGGCGCACGGGTTTATTGAAATGTGCGAAGAGGGGTGGCGCGCAGATTGCCTGCGCGCCCTCGCCTGCTCCTACTCCCTGCAACTGGCTTCAGTGCAACGCGGCGGGGAGAGATTGCTAGGCTGGGTTGTTCAGTGGGAGGGGTTTGCGAGGAGAGTTAAATAATAATGTATAAGGTTGTTCCCGCTGGCATGCAGCAATATCGGAGCGCCAACAAAACGAACGCGTGCTCTTGAGACGAAGGGGAGGAAGACTCCACGAGTACACACAACCGGCTTCCGTGCCCAACACGCGAATAATATATAGTTCAGTATAATAGATTGCAATATATAAATCAACAAACATAAACATCGGCCGTTTCGAAGCGTAAGTTACGAGACACAGTCTGGTAAAACAATAGCCTTGCAATTATGAACCACGTGCCAGCAATAGCAATGTTTGGAAGATGTAACTCAGCCAGCACAATCAAATAGTAAATCTCGAGACGCGAAAAAAAACCCTGCTGCATCCATCCACTGCTGCTGGGACCGCCGTCACGAGCTGCCGAGGGGGTGGGGTCTCGTGGTCTCTGTGTGCGTGTGCGCTGCCTCTGCTGCTACTACTGCTGCTGCTACTGCTGCTGAATCTGCGTCCGCTTTAAGGACTCGACTCTCGTGGACTCCAGAAGGTGGACACCCCCCCACCCCCCCCGAAACGCGCTCTTCCGCGATCCAACATCCCCCCAACCTCCACCCCCACCCCACCTCCCTGCACTCCCTCAACTCATCCCCCCCTTCCCCCCCACAACCGACCTCCTTTTCCCGACAGCTCCAATCGGAGCAGCCCTCGGGAGCAGCGAACGGGCGCCCCTTTACGCAAGCCCGAGCTACGACGATGACGATGGTGGTGGTGGTGGCAGCATCAGCAGCAGCAGCTCTTGGTGTTGCGCCGTGCAGCGAACTCCGAGTCCCGCAGCGCTCGCAGCGGCGTCGCTGCGCTCGTGTCCTGGAGGGGCCGGAGCTGACGGAGCAGCGTCCATAGTTCGTTTTGACGCGGGGGGTGAGCGACGAGGTCCATCGCCTCCGACCGGGCTGTGGTGTCGGGGTGCGGGTTGGCTGGGCGTGAGGAAGGAGGGGTGTGTGGAGAGAGTGGAGGGGGGGTGGGTTGAGAGGATTTTGGGGGGGGCGAGGAGGGGTGCGGGAGCCGGAGAAAGAGGAACGAGCGAGGAGCCAACCAGCCCAACGAAAGAGGAGGAGGAGGAGGGGAGGGGTGGTGGACTGTGGTGGGATTTTTGTTGTGTTTTTTTTTCTTCCCTTCTCTCTCTCTTTGCTGCCGAGCCCTGCTCTTGTAATTACTCATTCAAGCGCCAGCGTCCCAGACTCCTCACTAAATGGGCTGTTTTACATTCTAGCCTCGGCCACGAAGACGGTAAGTAGACAATTATAGCTGTCACTGTAATTCGATTAGCGTTCCCCGGCTAGAAACGTGTAGGGAACGTGACCCGTGCACCCAGGGCGTGCGTCTGCGGGAACCCAACACGTACACACATCGCAATTTTTTTTGCTCGACATATCCACACGCTATTCTCTGTTTAAAGCCACACAGTGTTTACTTTCGGCGTGTCGTTTTTTGTTGTTGTCGATGGAATCAAAAAAATCGCAGTGCAGCGACTTTCGTTGCAAGCGGGGGGGGGGGGGTATGTAATCACTTTAAGCTTAGCCCATAATTACGTCCACTACGGGATAGACGTGTTAAACTGACGGGTGTGTAGCCGATGGAGAGGTGATATAAGTGCGTAATACTCGCGGATGACAGAAATGAGCACGTTGTGTTGCGCGGATCAAGACAATGATCGCTAAATGCTTACTACGCAGCAAGTCGTTTACGGATCGAATCTTCGCTGCATGTGAGCTCACAATGCAACCGTTACACTTAACCAATCTCCGCCGCTTGCTTTGAAACGTTCATCATTTAGCAGCCGCGCTTCCTTAGATTACTAATTCATCGTTGTGTGTGGAGGGGGGTGGGGGGGCATTCGTATGCTCATTTCCAGAATTAAAAGGTCGATGCAAATTTTCCGTAGCCGCGGTATGTTTTGGGTGTTTGGAGAGAAAACGCTAGCGCGTGTCAGACGCGATTGGAAACCACGCAAACCCGGCACTAAATGCGAGGCATTATTCCGAGTGTAGGCGAGATACACGCTGGGCACCAAGGCGCTCTCTGCCTCAAGGAGGGGGACTCGTTGCCATTGGGTGCCTCGGCGCGCACAATGGAAAGGGCCCACGGCCCTCGCATAGAAAGTGGGGGGGGGGGGGGGGGGGACATTCATAAAAGGCTGCGTCAAGAAAAAAAAAATTCAAGCTGCGCGCATTCCTGTCGGAGTGTAATCGTGGCCCAGTGGCATGCATCTCACAAGCCGACGCGTGTTTTTTGCGTGGTTCTGAAACCGACCAGTGTTATTCGACTTGATTTTGTTTGTTGTTGTTGTTTAAACGGTTGCTAATCCTTAGTTGGAGTGCAAATTGCAATTGCGTTTGCTCCGAACTATCGCCAGTGCTCAACGCGGCACGAGAGTTACCGCAGTGAGGCCAAGCCAGAGACGGCGCAATGGGGTGGGGGGGGCGACTTTTAATCAGAGATAAATAAACAAACAAAAAGCTTTAAACGGACCAGCAACTCGTGCAATAATATTATGATTGTTATGAGTCATTGTCGCGGGTGACATTTTTCGATCCGGTTTTTTCGTGTCCAATCGATCGATTCGACATGCCGTATTGAAGTCATAGATGCCACACACGGAGAGAGGAGATGATTTCAGCTTTTAGCCAACGCTGCGCGGAGGTTACAGGAATGGGCTACTCCATACACATCCTCGCACGTTATCACCTACCTCCAGAGAGAGAGAGAGAAGCAAGCGTCATCTCCCTTTAGCAATGAGATTTTACAGTCGAAGCTAAGCCTGCCAAGATATAGTTCACCGGCCCCAGGGTGTCTGTATACGAACGCGCGCCTCTCGATACGGTTCCAAATTGGCGAGCCCTTTTGGGGCTATGCGGTTCAGCATCACTGAGACCCAGGACACTGCTGGCAAATCGTGAATGCTATTTTGTTAGTGCAAATTAAAACGCGCACGTAAACACACGCACACAAAAAACAAGTGCACGCACAAAAACGCGGTGGGCAATTGGAGAAAGATAATCGGTCGCCCGCGTTCAACACCAATTTGAGAGATGTTACTGCGAAATTATATTTCGAAACAAAAAAAACTCACAAAAATGCAGCACGCGGCTATATATTTGGCGAGTGCAACTTACGTAACGGGGTCGAGTCCGGCAGAGCATGGTAATGATTGCGTCCGATATTTACGTGGGGCGTCCCATTAATACAACGCTATTTTCGTTGCGTGAACCCGTAATGTGTTTCGTCACGCAGTCGCAGCGGCACCAGACCGTTTTATAGTTTTAAAAAAAATCCTTTACCATCTCCTCCTCCTCCTGCAACTCCTCCGCAAACAGGCGCACGCACGCTCACAAAAAATTATTCAACAAAAAAAACCACGCGAACGTTGCCGTAATCGTCCGTTCCCAACGATTGCCACGAGGTGGAGCCATTTGATCAAAATCCGTTCGGCTTTCGACTTCGCTTTCCGAGTGCAGAGAGAGCGCTCTGCACGAGACGCGGCGGAGGAGAGGGGAGGGGGGGTGGTGGGCAAGGAATAGGGAGATGAGGTGTGTGGGGAGGCTCGTAACGCGAAGGGAGCGCAGATTCTCCACTTTTAGACAGCGCCGATTATCATCGCGGTCGCGCGCCGCCTGTTCAACTGCGCGTGCATCGCGCACGCGTCCGGGCTCACCCTCGCTCGGGGAGAGACAAAGGCGACCGGGGAACAGAGGGAGGAGAGGGGGGGTAGGAGGTGGTGGGGGGTTAAAAAATTAAGAAGGGACTTTAATGCCGCGCTACGGTCGGGGGGGTGTTTTTTGTGTGCGTCCTCTTCTTTGCGATGGGAGCATCGTGACATTTATTTTGTCTCAATTCGATTCGCAGCTGCGCGCCCGCGAAGCTGTCTCGTCTTTGGTTGGCGTGTTCGTTGCGATTTAACTGCACGTCGTAGTGACGACGACAATGATGATGATGACGATGCGTAAACATGCGTAAAAAAATGAATTCGAGCCCCGTAAACTGTTAACCCCGGCGCGTTAGATAAATTAACGTGGCGATGGACACAAGCAAAGGTTTTGCGCACAAAAGTAGAAATAACGCATTAATCACGCGCGAAACATAACGCGATTAACGGATGATACGAGCTTGAGCCGAGCGGTAGCGGGCTAGTCGGATAAAGTGCAGCAGTCGGGAGCCTGAATCGTTCCCGTGGTGGCTTCCTTGTTCTTGTTTTACGCACGCGGCTCCCGTTCGTTCCGCGCTGCGCTGCATGGCAATAATGCCCCGGCGGGCGGGTCCGTTCCGTCCGCTCGAGACGGCACCACCGCAACCACCACCGCCACCACCACAGTTCATCTCTCGCTTACAGCAGAAGGAGGAGCCGGGCGTGATCGGCTAGCACCGGCAGCGGCGCGGGAGTGCGAGTTTCCACCGTGGCATCATCGACTGCACGACCCTCCTCCTCCTTCCCCCCAGCCCACAGCGACTCCTCCGCGGCCACTGCCACCGCTGGCGTTTCAGCAGCACCCTGCGTGGCCCCGCGGCGGAGGACGATGCCGTCCCCTCGAGTGCTCCGCTTGCTTCTGGCCGCCTGCGTGTCGTGCCGCCTCGTGTGCCTGGCCGCGGGACTCTGCGGCGCCGAGACGCGAGCCGAGGGGGTCTTCATGGGGCGCTTCGCGTTCGGTGGCGCGCAAGGCGTGCCGCGCAACGCGTCCGCGTGCTGCAGCAGGCTGGTGGTGAACCCGGACCCCGGGAGACACGTGCTGCTGCTCAGGTTTACCAAAGGGAACGGATCCTGCGCGGAATACAAGCTCGGGGCGCACGCGTACGACACTCGTGGCACCCCCGTGGTGGAGGAGGAGGACGTGGTGGAGGAGGAGACGGAAGACGCGTTCTTGGATGTGTGCGACTCGAGCAGCCGCGTAACTTTCATGCAGAGCGACAGAAAGTACGTGAAGCTGCAGTGCGCTCGCGAGGAGGCGCGGGGCAATCGGCCGTCGCTCTCCGGAGCCCTCTCGACATCGCCATCGTCACCATCGTCACCATCGTCGCCATCGAACAACTGGATTTCGGTGGATTACATCGTGATGGATAAAAGCGGGGCGAACGCCGACGCTTGCCGCCTCTTCTGCGACTGGCTCGAGAGCTGCTGGTGTACCGAGAACCCCAGGGGTCATTGCACGCTGGCCAAGTCTCCCTGCTCTTGCCTTGCCCCTCGATCGGACGAGGAGGACATTGGCCTCGAGTCTGGACCCTGCAACGGGAGGAGGGAAGGGGTCGGCTCCAGGCACCTGCTCTTCGTGGCGCACGACTGCGATAAGGCGTCGTCGTCATTATCAGGTGGGGCTGCTTATGAGATGCTGTAATAGAATTCAGATAGCATCTTTCCCAGGGGATTTGCTCGGGAGTTTTAGATAAACGATTTACCAGGGGTAGACTGTTCGAAAAAAAAAATGCGCTTGATATATGAGAGGTTTGTCATTGCGTCCACGTTGCGCGATTCTAAACATTAAATCTTATCAAAGACCCAAGGTGGGAGACTCGGGTCAACGCGTCGCTGTGCAATAACCGTAGCTAGACAACGTGTGTGTGTTTCAGCTAAGTTATTAAAAACAAAATATCATTGGCACGCTGATAAGAGAGGGGAGGGAATCGTAAATCTGCGAGTCTGGCTTTCGGCTCACGCGCAGACGCCTAATGACAATAATTGACGCGCACGAGTCAGTGAAATTCCAAATTGAGATGCAAATGAGGGGAGGAATATTTTATAGAAATGACCATCCGAATCTAACCGCATCCAAAATCTGGCATTTTTATTACGTGTTTTATTGTGTCGTGGGTATTGTGCACAGTAATCGGGTTTTATATTTTAAAAAAAAGTGCATGCAAATATACGTCCCACTGCAAGAACATTCTTAGAAAATGTGTAAGCATTTGTGCTAAAGCAATTTTTTTTCAGATCGCTTTGATCTCACACTGCAGGGCTATGCGAAATTTCCACCCCTGACATGTCTTGAAAGTGTGTAATTATGCAGTGCCCGGCTATGGTGTCATGTGATGCTTCTGTATATCCCACGGAAATCTAAATTGTACTTTATTTGAAAGTGGCTGTCCTCTCATGGATAAGTGTCCAGTAAATGAAGTGGATCGGTGATCTCTCACCCTTCTATTACTCAGAGGCTGCACATCATGAATATTTGAATAATATTGGGGGTGGTTTAAGTGACATTTCACCATGAATCTGCTGCCAAATTTATGTTTGTGCAGCAATAACATCCATCAGTTATACATATATATATATAACATGTTGAAGTGCCAGTGAGTAAAAGACGTTTCCACGTGTAAAGCAGATTGTTTCGAACAACAAATGATGCATTGCATCACTTAAGCATTGAGTGCAGGGTACGGATAAACATGCAGTCACTGCAATTATAGTGTTGGAACTGCAGTCATATTATCAAGCAGCATGTGGCAGTCGGAATGATCTTATGATTTGTGGCATAGGTTATAGAGTCTGGTACATCGTCTCTTGAAACTTTTTTTAATAGCCATGACCGTAATGAATGGGCCCGCAATGCACGCTTGTGACGATGGTGCCATTCAAAGAGCCGGCGTGCTCGATGGCAATTTGAACAGAGCCGTATTTTGTCACGGTTCATTCTTGGTCATGCAAAAATGCACACTGGCTCTCTGTACATAATCTTACTGGCAGTCAGGTAATGCACCGAATGGAGCCTTAATTAGAACACGCGTTTGGGTTGTGTAATTACGCAGTCTCTACAAGGCATCGTTACAGAGAGGGAAATAACTGCGTTTGTCTTGGCAGGAGGAGGTAGTTGGCAGTACAGTATATTGCACAATTTCTGCCCAACAGTGCCTCCCTTTGGGCTGTGATAACTGCTTGGATTTGTTATGATTGATTACGGACTCACCTCCATCTTCACCGATGTTTACGGGAGAAAAGTGTTGGAAATAATTGGCATTAGGTGCGAGGGAAGTGATTGCTCTTAGTGTGTTTTTAATATAAGCACACGCGGCTCAGGTGAGGAAACTAAATTGCATGGTACGTTTGCTTGCTATGAGAGGCTCCCAATGTCGTTTAATGATGGAAATTTTTGTACTTGAACAGTAATAATTTATTTTCTTGCATGGCATGCTGTTGCAGCTTGCCAGTTTATTATTGAAATGAATTCTTACCTCAATAACAGGGCAATACATTTTCATTTGGAGTACATTGCCATGTCCTGTTAGTATATAAAGCATGCAAGCATTCACTTAAAATTGTACATGAAATATATATAGCTTACGCATTATCAATTTTTTTGGGCACAATGTGACTTATGGGATTTTTTTTTTGTCTAAACAAATTCACAATAATTCGGTATCATAAAATTGCATCATGTAAAACGGCACATGTGCCCTTACAGTATTTAAAACACACACTAAAAACACACCTGTTACATTACAAATAGTATTACCATTGCAGTAAGAAATAATACATAACACATGGTTTTCTAACATGGGTATACCTGTTAATGGAACACCACACATCTCATCTCACAGTACGGACAATTCCTGAGCACCGCAAGTCAATTGGTTTGCTGAGGCTCCTTCTTTAGGGACGCTTAAGCTTTCTGCGGAGCCAATGCCACCATCGTCATCACCATCATCAGCAGTGCGCCGTGTGTTCCGATTGCAGTGCCGTGGTCTTCGTGGGGCAGCTGTTCGGAGCCTTGCGGCGGTGGGCTGCAGATGCGGAGCCGGGCATGCAGTGGGCCGTGCCAATGGGAGAATGTGTGGGAGCGTGGGCGGACCTGTAGTGGATTAAGCGAGGAGTGGCGAGAGTGCAATCGCCACAGTTGTGACAGTAAGTAGCTTTGAGCGTGACGCGGTAATCCTCTCCTCCTGGAAGCGCAGCTTATCAGCTCATTCGCCGTCAGGTCAGCTGCCTCCCCGGTGCTTTGTGCCGTTAACCACATTTTTTTTTGTTGGATTCACGGTTGCAAAATCAAGGCCAGCGCGCTCGTGCAAATGTTCACATGAGTGGCGAATACGTGCCCATCTAATTTCTGTCTCGTATCTCATGAGGTTATCTCGTGAAAGGCCCGCTGAAATTGTGGGTCAGACCCCGGTAATGAAAAATCAGCGAAAGCAAATTGGTGAAAAATCAACGGTTTAATTTTGGTCGTGTTTTTTTTTTGTAATATTAAAAATTGGCAATAGTCTACCTCGAACAATGACAAAATATTACTAAAGAAAATGTGTTTTTTGATGGCTTTCGACAAAATGTGTTTTTGTATTGTACTAATTATTCAAATGAATGGAAAGACAAATTACAGTAATTAATACCATTTAACGATTAGCCACTTTGGTGACACATCCACACACAGGAAAATTAGTCTGACATATAAATCTGAATTTAAACCATATTAATTAAAAATTTCAAGTTTATTTTTCACACTTAATCCAATTATGTTCGAATTAAAATGTAATTTTTATACAAAAAATATCTAGTATGTGTATATATACATACACGTGCACTGCTTCCTCACTAATTGTCCCTTCACAAGACTGGCGTTTTTTTTCTTTCAAGTTCGCCTATTTTCCATTTCAGGCCGATGGGAATCGGGCTACACTGCACATCACACTCACTCACTGCGATCTGGCATCAAAGACACAGACGGCAGCTGGGATCAAATTCCTGCAATGGGATCACGATCAGGTAAACTCGTCCTTCTGCAGTCGGTCACGCCTGATGCTGACAACCAATTGTATTTCACCACACCTTTCATGGCATGTTGTTTCTCACACATAGCTTGATAATCTCGATAATTACCTTAATGATTAAGGTTGAATAGAGACCGCATCAGAAATGAAGCCTAAAACTCACATTTGTATATAAAGGCCACTTCAAAATATTGGTTTTCAACCACAGGTCTGTGGTTCGATATGGGGGTTTTGTGAACCACTCCAGCATGATCCACAGGGGGTCCTCAGCCACAAAGGAGTTCACAACCGAAAATGTGCAAAACCTCCAGCGCTGGCCCACCGCAGTGCACCTTTCTGCCTTCACAAATATTCTGATACTAATTGGTGAAGACTGCGCTGTGGGACAACGTGGCGGGTCTTGATATTGGGAGATCTTGAGAAGGTCGGCGCATCGTGTGATTGAGACACGGTGACATTTATCAATACGCTTTATCCCTCTCGATGGGCTTTACGGTTGCACCGCGTGTTGCTCAGCGTCATGTTGGACATTTTGCTGTGCATGCTGGGAGCACCAGGGAGCGATATAGCACAACAGCAAAAACCTACGCAGTTATATATATATATCTCGTTTTAATCTTTTAAATATTGTTTGCTGAGCTTGGAAATTGAGTGCAGCTGCATTTGGCTCCGTGCATTGAGCCAAACATTGGACACCGTCCCGAACAACGCGCGGTTCAACCGGATTAAACAAAACCGCATCAGAGAGCTACGCAGCACAACCGCGAAAATCTACGCGGTAGTGTTCATCGATCATCTGGTTATGTCATGTTGAATTTTTTAACAACCCTCAAATATAGTTGGCTGAACTTACACATTGAGAGTTGCCGCAACTGCTGCTGCTGCTGCTTCTGCTGCTGCAGAGGGTAGTGGCTGCCACGGTTGGGTTTGTTGGCTACTGCTGGGAGCAGAGCCCCCAACTCCCTCCCCCGGGAGGGAGCTGGAGATGTGGGCCGAGCGGGGCCTCCGCTCCGTGCCACGTGGCCACGGCCGCCAGGCGCGTTCTCTCCCTGCGCCCGTGCCTCCTCGACACGTGTCAGAATCATCGATCTTTACTGAGGCTGGAGGAATCCGATGGCCTGTGAAGCTCTTTTGTCACCGATGGCCAGTAGGTGGGTACGGCAGGTCAGAACGTTACAACAAACAATGCAAAAACACGACGAGGAGTGCAAAGGGCAGGGAAGGTGCCGGCCACCGCAGTGGGTCCTGGAGCCAGCTGCGCGGCTGCGATGCTGCCTCGCTGTGCACAGGTGAAGCTGCAGACGCAACGATGCGTCTTTTGTTTGTTTTGTCATTGAGCTCGTGTTGCAACAAGGTGGTGGGAAAACGAACCGTCCTTCAACTTCCCACGTGACCAAAAATTCATTGAGTCGCTCTGTTTACATGGTTGAAAGGAATGGGGTAAAGGTGCAGCCCTGCAATTGCCTGCTTGTGTTACTGCTGGTGGCAAATCCTCCACTCGAGGCGGTCCTAGAGAGCCCCACTAGAGGATAGTTTGGTCTATTATTCCATTACACGCATTTCCCCCGCCCCCCCACCATATGCCACCTGCGAACAGACTAACTGTTGTGTACCTATTTATACTGCTGAGTGGACAGACGGGGGGGGACTTTAAGAAACTTGCCCATGCCCCGGGAGATCGAATCGACCTCTGGATTGCAGGTCCAGTGCGATAACCATTGCAGCATCTAAAATCAATTTGTGAAATCACAAATGTTCGGTTGAGCTTTTTTATGGATTGTCATTTCTCATTTTTAAATTATATCTGGATGGAGATGATGCATTTTTGTATTCCACGAAAATATACGTTTTTTGCGTTGCTAAAAATTGCAAGTTTTCAAGTGTAAAGTTTTGAGTTATTTTGTGTGCCTTGAGTTATATTTTACAGCTTTCAGTGAATTTATTGCTGGGATATTTAATGGGAAGCTCTTATTTTATGGGAGGCATAAGTTGTGAGAGGAATACACGTGGCCTTTTTCCGTGAGCTTTGTCTTGAAAAGAAGATTGCAACTTGTGGCTTAGGAGGCAATTTCACATACGACTCCCAAAGCAAGCATTAAACTGGCATGCACAGAGCCAATATGGGTTGCCATTTGTGTTTTGTGTGAATCTACCTAATCTATTTCCAAAATAAATGTACGTGGAAAATCTAACAGCTGGTATTTCAGTGTTTATATGTCGCTTGTAGGTGTCTCTATTAATTATAATTATGAGAAAATGCAAAACAAATCATTAACTTTACTTATTATGCAATAAAACCCATGGGTCATTTATGTGCTTATTTATATTCAAATACTGAATAACTCTTTGAAGGCAAATAAAACATCACATTGCATATTTTTATGTTGCTTCTATATATGTGCCCATATTAAGTTAAATAAAAGCTTGATCATAAATGCATGCATCTTGTAGCAAATTATTTATCTCCAGTGCTCCTCTGTGGGTGTATAAAATGTTTAAGAGCAATGGTTAAACAAAGTTGAATGGATTCTCAGAAGAGAGTCTTGTTACAAATGTCTCTGGACATTGTGTAGTGTATTTGTCAAAAGCTTATTTTTTTAAGCATAGCTATTAAACAATGAAACTAATCATGCAACTTGGCAAGGTGAGTAATTATGGTTATTATGATTGTAAATTAGCATTGCTAGTCATGTTTGAACATAGCATCAGTGCGACCTCAAGTGTGTCAAGATAAAGGCCCACTTACGTACGTGTGTTCAACTTCTTTTGCACCTTACGTAGCTAATCGTGCTAATCGGAGGTGCGGGGGAAGGTCAACAACCCAAAAACTAAAAGCAGACATGCTTACACTGATGACTAGCCTGTCATCTTCTATGGGCATGACAGTCACACTACACCAGGTGAAATAGGAACTCTACGTCCAAATGCAATACTGTGCACTGAAGGCTCACAGTTACAAATCATTTTTAAGAAATATACAGTGGCCCAAAAGTCAGCATGCATAGGGTTATTTCACTTATCTTAACACTGCCATGAAAACACTTCTAATTGTTTAAGTTAATATTTTATCAATTGTGGCGTCACCTCAAATCCGTCGTTTACAAAACTCCACCTAGAACCCGGAATGAAATGAGATTACAAAACGTAATTGATGAACGTTCAATAATTACACCTGTAATTTTTTAAAAGTCCTAAATTCATTTCAAAAGAGAATTCATGCATGCGTTAATGTTAGTGGAATGGCAGTTGGAACATTTGTTCAATTTTGTAAAAAAAAAAAATATCCGCGTGTAATTTGATAAATAAATAATAACCTTTTGTGTCCTGACTTTTGGACCACCCTTTATATATATATATATTTAAATCACCACATAAATTAGGTGTGATGCCATGTGTGCAGAAATTATGTTTTTTCTAGGGGTTGTTTTATCAGATTATAATTCCTTGAGATTTTTTATTCAAAGATATATTCATTACATATATTCATTACAAATGAACGGGACATATGCAGAATGTATACACTGCATTCCACAATATATTTATGATCATTTCTCCACGTCTCTCTTTCTGCCTACGTCTACCAAATTGCACTTTATGTACTTAACACGACGGATGCATAGCTGTTAATTAGACGACCAAAAGAAGAGCTTTAACGACGGACAGTGACTGATGAATAATAACGACTTTGGAGCAAACAATATTGACGACTGTGAATGATTGTTTGAGATGAAGAGAGCACAATAAAGTGTGCTGGTCGATGGGTGGCAAAGCTTTTTGTGAATCAATGTGGCAGGGTCCTTAGGGAGGTCGAGGACAGACTGCCTGTGACCGACGGCAAAGTTGGTTGCAAATTGCCCACCGACTTGACACAAGAGGCATATTTGTTCGCTCTATGGAACGACACAGTGGACACATCACAGTGGCATGGGATGCAGTGACGCGACTACCAGCAGAGCCAGCTCACGCTTGATAGGGGCCCAGGGTAGTTATTGTTTGCACGTGTCCGATGGCCTAAAAACTTAATCGTTCTAGATTTGAAGTTCACTTGATACAGTAATTTTGCTGTGACGGTTCCACCTGAAGACGGAAGCTTGTGTTGCCTCCGAAACGTCGTGATTTAATGTATTTGTTTTCTTTTTTAACCTACGTGACTTTACCGAAAAAAACAAAGAGTATAACTTAATCGTTATTTAAGTTTGGTTCGTATGCTTTATTCATGCCTTTTAATGACAGTGCAGGGTCAAAGTACCAGACAAGGAGATATCAGTGAGGATGTGAAAACAATAAGAGAACTTCAGATCTAGATTGAATAAGAAGAAAGTTAAACGACAGGGGCGGAGGGACAGGATAGGAGGTGAGGGGAGGAGAAGAGGAGGATAGGGCGAAAGGAAGTGTCTGCTTCTACGTGTGTTGAACTTCTGTCCCGCAGTACGTAGCCAACCGTGTTAATCAGAGGTGCCGGGGAAGGACAACACAACTGATCAAAAGATGCAGTTCTAAGGAAATGAGTTTTCAATCAAGATTTAAAAGTGCATCGTTCCAGTGGCTTTCTAATATGGCAAAGAAGAGCATTCCAGATGGTCGCAGAAGCGCATCTGAAAGCGCGCCATGCGGTGACCTTCTTTGTCCGATGGTTAGTGAATAACGACTGCGAGGATGACCGGACTTTGCGTGGTGGTTTATGCGCCTTGGCGACATTAGAAAATGTATTGTGGTTCATTTGTGGCAAGGACTTTGCGTGTAAGAGTTATCTTAATGCTACAGCGATGTGTTTCAACCATAGCGCAGTACAGTGTATATTTAACACATTTCTGGTGATACTGCATTGGCAGTGGTGCACAAGCACAGATAACAAGAAAAACTCTACACATTAATAAAAAAAACACTGCCCTAAAAGTAAATCTATATAATAGATGACATTTTGGATGATGGGCTTTCTTCATAGCACAGAAATTGACAGGCGATAAAGAAAAAGTGGTGAATAAATATATATTA